ATGAAACTAAAAATTTCAGGTAAGGCCCTTGTGACCAAGAGGATGAGAAGTCTAGTGTCCAGGTCACATGAGGGTTGGCTGAAGGAAGTGGGGGTGTCTTCCAAGTGGAGCTCTCCACAGTGGACCACCTCTGAGGCTGATGGACAATCCTCTCACTGAAGGGCTCCAGGCAAGGGCTGAATGGCCCCTTGTCTGAGAATGTCCATACCTCACATCACCACAGCCCCTGGACAATGTCATTTCCATCACTGGTAACATCTGCACCCCTGACCCTACCACTAATCCTGCTGTCCTCATCCCTATTCCTAACAGCATCTTCATCTCTCTCATTATGAGATCATCATCACTACCACTGCCATCCTCAGCATTACTCCTTACCCGCTATATTCACACACCCCCAACCTCAGCATCATCCCAATTTCTCTTCCACCAACCTTAGCAGCAGCATCACCACCATTAATTATCCCCTTCCCACCAATGCCTTCCAACCTCTCCTTGGGTCCTAAGATGTTCACTGGGGAATTGGGGTGTCACGAAGCAAATGGCCAAACTTGTGAAACTCTGCCCCAGGATAGGAATGCACTGGGACTGTGATTTTATTGGAATTGGAAACTTCACTTTGAGGAAAATCTCCGTACCAATGTAAGTCAGTATCTTTCCTGCAACTTAGAGACCTGGCAGTAAGCTGTCAAGAGAGCACCAAGATTAAGTGACTTGCCCAGGGTCACACAGGCAGGATGTGTCAGAGAGGGGACTTGAACTCAGGTCTCGCTGGCTCTGAGAACACTCTTTTATCTGCAATGTCACTAGTCTATTGCCAAACGTGAAGCCATTTTTTCAATTGAAGGATGCTTATTCTCTTTCCTTCTAAGCCCTCCCTTCTTCTGAACTTGCCTATTATTGTTCAAGGTCCCAGGCCCCCAGGCTCTCGATCTAGGGGTCATCCTTGACTCCTTATTCGCTCTCACTCCCCACCCCCAACTGTGTCCATAAGCAATCACTTGTTAGGTCCTGTCATTTCTACCTTCACAAGATCTCTCCAGTACTCCCCCTTCTCTCCTTGAACACTGGTCCAGACTCTCATCAGCTCATGCCTGGATTATTACAATAGCTGAATGCTTGGTCTCCCTGCCTAAGTGCCTCCCTATTCCAGTCCCATTCTCTACTCAGCTATCAAAGTGATCCTTGTTTTTTTTTTTAATGTAATATTTTATTTTCCCCGATTACTTGTAAAAACAATTTTTAACATTCATTTTTTAAAATTTTGAGTTCCAAATTCTCTTCCTCCCTCCCCTCCCCCACGTTGAAAAGGCAAGCAGTTTACTTAGTTATACACGTGCAGTCATACAAAACATATTTCCATGTTGGTAAAGTTGTAAAAGAAAACACAGACAAAAAAAAAAGAATAAACAAAGTAAAGAAAAAGTCTGCTTTGATCTCCATTCAGACTCTGTTCTTTCTCTGAAGGTGGACAGCATTTTTCATCATAAGTCTTTGAGAACTGTCTTGGTTCATTGTATTGCTGAGAATAGGTAAGCCATTCATGGTTGATCATCATATAATACTCCTGTTACTGCATACGGTATTGTCCTGGTTCTGCTCATTCCACTCAAAGTGATCTTTGTAAAGCACAAGTCTGATTATGTTCACTTCCTTAATGAATAAACTCCTATGGCTCCCAATCACCTCTAGGATCAATTATAAAACCTTCTGGTTGTTTTTAAACTCCTTTTGCATTAGGGCTGGGAGGTGGCTCAAGTGGATAGAGAACAGGGCTTGAAGTCAGGAAGACTCATCTTTCTGAGCTCAAATCTGGCCTCAGACACTTACTTAGCTGAGTGACCCTGGGCAATTCATTTAACCTTGTCGGCCTCAGTTTCCTCACCTGTAAAATGAGTCAGAGAAGAAAATGGCAAACTACTCCAGTATCTTTGCCAAGAAAACCCCCAATGGGGTCATAAAGAATCAAACAGGACTAAACAACAACAACCTGGCCCCTTCCTACCTTTCCAGGCTTCTTATACTTTACTTCTCTCCACATGTTCTACCATCCAGTGACGTTGGCTTCTTGGCTTGTTCTCCACACACTATGCTCCATCTCCTGACTCTGTGCCTTTTCCAGGGTTGCCCCCATGCCTGGAACACTCTCCCTCCTCTCCTCCTGGCTTCCTCTAGCATTCAGCTCAAATCCTATTTTTGTAGATCTTTCCTAGACCTCCTCCATCCCCTCCCATACTAGTACCTTCCCTTTTGCATCTTGTAATTTTGGGCATAGTCTCTCCCATTAGAATGTCAGCTCCTTGAGGACAAGGGTTGCTTCCTGCTTTTCTTTGGATTCCCCAGCACTTACCATGGTGCCTGGTATATAGTATGTGATTAACAAATGCCTGTTGACTGATTGACTCATTTTGTTACTACAAAGACTATCTTGGCAAATATTGAACTTTTGTTTCTGTCTCTGACTTCCTTGAAGTATATGCCCAGTGATGAGGTTGCTGGGTATGAACATACTTCTGAACCATAATCCAGAACAATTGCTTAACTTTATAGCTCCACCAACAATGTACCGGTGAAGCCTGACTTCCTATAGTTCCACCACTTTGACTGTTTCCATCTTTGGGAATCGACTGTTTTAAGGCTGTTTTAATCTTTTCTAGTCTGCATGATGTGAAGTGAAATCTCACCTGGTTGATTTTTAAAATATTTATTAATATTTTTTGTTTTTTCACCACGTTCATTCCAAATATAGCCCTCCCTGCCCTCCTACCCATCAAGCTCTCTGTTGTAGCAAAATTTAAAAAAAAAAAAAAAAGGAAAAAGGAAAAAACCATTTTCGGAAAAACAACCAACACATCATCCTGTATCTGACTATAATGGTCCACAGCCATAGTCTCCACTTCTCCAAGGAGAGGAGAGAGGTACGTTTCCTCATCTCTTCCCTGGGGCCAACCTTGTACAGAGCTTTCAGTTTCTTTTAGTTATTGTTGTTGTTTTTTTTCATTCACATTGTTGAAGTCATTGTGTACATTGTTTCCCTGGCTCAGCCTATTTCAATTTGCATCAGCTCATATAAATCTTCCCTTGCTTCTCTGTAGCCATCATAGTCATCATTTCTTTTAGCATAGTAATAGACAAAAGCATCACAATTTTATTTAGTAATTCTTCAGCTGATGGGCATCTAATCTGATTTTCAAAAAAAAAGTTTGAGCTCCTTTTTTCCTAGAGTATTGGGCGCTCAGGCATGAGGAATATTCTGACTTTGCAACTGCTATTAGTGTCCTCTGGAGAATGCTGAGGAATGAAATATGAGTTTCAATATATCCAGTGGATGTCTGGCAAAATATCAATGTGACTGGTTCAGGGTTGTTTTTTATTTGTTTTGTTTATTACTTTTTGTCCCTCCCTCACCCCTGCTCCCATACTTGACTGAAAAAAATCTTTGAAAACAGGAGCCTTGCATTTTTCTTCCAGACATAGAAGAGACAGAGTGAAAGAGACAGAGAGACTGAGAGACAGATAGAGCCAGGAACATACAGACTGAGACACCTTCTGAGACAAAGGGAAAGGGACACTCCATACAGGCACCGACAGAGTCGGTGAAGACACTAAGAGACACAGGGAGAGACTCAAAGAGAGGAAAAGAAAGAAAATGACACAGAGGGAGAGAGACAGAGAGTATGACAGAGAACACTAAAAGAGAAAGGGGAGAGGAAGGAGGAAGAGAGACACAAAAGTAGAGACAGAAATGGATTCTGAAAGACCAGAGAGATAAGCAGGGGAAGACACTGCCTTTCACAGTCTCATTTTCCTCATCTGTAAATAGGGAGAGTGCTACATACCAATTGTGTGACCTTGGCCAACAAATCCCTTCGCATCTCTGAGCCTCAGTTTCCCCATTTACAAAATGAAGTGGTTGGATTAGAAGATGGTCTCTAACAGCCTTTCTAGCTCTAAATCCTATAGTTTAGAAGATAGGCTCTCACAGACCCAGACACTTAGAGAGAGACAAACACAACCAGATCCAAGGCTGAGACAAAAGCCAGAGTGCAGAGGCAGGTGCGGCGGCAGAGGTCGCTGCCCACCCCTGCCTCAGTGGCGGCAGTCTACCGCCTCCCTGCCTCCTGGCCCTCAGCCCTCGGTCGCCTCAGTCTCCACCCAGCTCCCTCCCCGGCTTTACTGCCCCCTCCCCTTCAGGTGGCTCCAGCTCCGCCCTGAGGCCGCCCAGAGACAGCGCTCCACTTTGGATCGGGAGGCGGGGGAGGAATGCAAAGTTTCTACCAAAGTTTTTTTGTCACTTTCTCCGCTCCGCTTCTCCGGTTGCCGCTGCCCTCTCCCGCTCCTCCCTTCTCTCCTGATCAGGTCCCTGCGGGTTTCCCGGCCCCACTCTCTCCACTCCTTGACCCCGTCTCCCTCTCTCCCCCACCCCGAATCCTGACCTTCCTACCCCGTCCACCTCCAGAAGCCTCTCCCCAGCCCAGAGCCAGTCCTTGACGCCCCACTGTCCCTCGGCACCCTCGACCTCAGAAGCCTCTCTCCAACCCGGATCTCCCCTCCCCACACCCCACCCCCAGCAGCTCCACTGTCCCCCGACTCCCCTCTCGTCCTCCCCTACCCAGACCCCAGACCCCGCCCAGAATTCTATCGGTAGCTCTACACCTTCCGTTCCACTGACCCTTGGCACCCTAAGGCATCCCCACCCCCTAAACTCTCCCCCCAACCCAGAGCCTGCCCCTACTGCCCCACTTTCCCTCTGCTCTCCTGGCTCAGACCCTTAAGCCACCCCCTACCTCGACCCCAGCCTTAGCCCAGTACTCTCCCCTCAGCCCAGGCCCCATCCTTGCACCCTTGACCTTCCAGACCTAACACCCCCTGCCCTCTTCCTTCCCCCCGCTCCAGGGTCCTTGCTCCATCCCTTGCCTTCTCTTCCTCCCTCCCTCCCTTCCCCAGCCTCTCACCCCTAATTCTGCTTCTCAGGCCCGTGGTCCGCCCCCACTTCTGCCATGCCCTGGGCATCCAGCGGGCCAGCCCTGCCCGTCTTGGTGCTCCTGGGAATCCTGGCGGCCGTCATGTCGCTCCTGTCGTCGCAGCTCCTCTTCCAGCTCCAGGCGGGTCGCGCCGAGCTGTGGGGCCGGTCCCTGGGCATGGAGGGGGCGGCCGAGGGGGCCGCCGGGGTCCTGCTGCCCTTGGGTTCGGCGCTGAGCGCCCTCTGCCTGGTGCTTAACCTCTGTGCGCTCTTCTTTTGCCTCCTGCTGTGCCATCTCAGCGCCGAGCTGGCACGGACCAGCCCAGAAAGGTAAGGGACCCAGGTGTCCTCAGCCAACCGAGCGTTGAGGGTCCTGGCTGGCTCCCAGCTTCCTGTATCCTCAAGACCAGAGCACCCCCTCAGAACATGGGATAGCAGAACAGGAATGGACCTAATCAGAACAGAGCATGTCCGAGCTGGGAGGGCCCTTAGAACACAGAAGGTCAGCTAGGAGGAACTTTAGGACTGATTTGGGATCTTATCAGACAATTAGTCCAACTCCCTCATTTTACGGAAAAGGAAAGTAAAGCTCCAGGGGCTTAAGTGATTTGCCCAAAATCTAGGAGGTCACAGCAAGGCCAGGGCTTGGACCTCAGCCTCAGGACTTAATCTAGGACTCTGCCCTGCTTCTCACTACCTCTCAAAGGCCAATCAGCTTCCACAGCTTGAACGGCAGGATGTGCATTTTAGTGGAAAGAGTGCTGAATCTGGAGTCAGAGGACCTGGCTCAGACCTCACCCCTGATTGGCCTGCCTCTGTGATTTTGGCTAAGTCACATAACTTCCCTGGGCTTCAGTTTTCCCCTGTGTAAAAGGAGGGGCGGGGAGAGTCAGACTCTAAGGTGTCTTCCAGCTCTAAATCTTTGGTCCTCAGGAGAAGAAAAGCACTTCAGCATAATAACATTTCTCCCCAATTATCTAACCCAAATCAGTCTTCATCCAGATCTTTATTCACCAGAAAGCCCAGGCCTGAGGGTTGGGGTGGGAGGAGAGGTGGACAGGGGAATAAGGAGGTGATAGGGAACAAAAAATAAAGTTGGAAACTTTTGATTTAGAGCAATAGATTCTCAAACTTCTTTCGTCTCTGGACCCCATTATACTCAAAAAGTATTAAGGATCTTCCAAAAAGCTTTTGTTAATGTGGGGTTATATCAGTTGATATTAAAAATTAAATTTTACAATATTAAAATTTAAATTACTATATTAAATTTTACGATATTAAAATTAAAATTTTACAATATTAAATTAAAATTTTATGATATTAAAATTAAAATGGATCGAAATTTAAAATATTTACTTATCAATTCATTTAAAATAATAATAAACCCATTATATGTTAACATAAATAGTATTTTTATGATAACCATATTTTTGCAAAGCAAAAAAATGAGAAGAGTAGCATGGTTTTACATGTTTTCTCAAATCTCTTTAATGTCTGGCTTAAAAGAAGCCATCTGGATTCTTTTATCTGCTTCCATATTGGATCTGTTGTCATGTGTTGTTTTGCCTGAAGTTTATGAAGAAAACCTAGCCTCACACAGATATGTAGCTGGAAAAGGGAGGAGTATTTTAATAGGCAAATAATGTCTTAGTATTATTATGAAAATAATTTTAACCTTGAGTATTCCTAAAAGTGTCTTAGGGATTCCCAGGGGTGTCTGGACCACACTTTGAGAACCGATGATTTAGAACAACTCCCTTGTTTTGCTGATGAAGAAAATAAAGTCCCACAGAGGTTTAGTGACATGCTCAAGACGTTAGGACCCCAGATCCAAAACTGGAAGAGACCTCAAAGTCCGTCTAGTCTAGTCTCTCTCATTTTTACATATGAACAAACCAAGGTTCAGGGAGAGTAAATGATTTATCACCTCTCACTGGGTAACCAGTGTTACACGGTAGGAAACGTCAGAAGTGGAATTTGAGTCCAGGTGCCCTGCCTTGAGCTATAGCTCTTTTCACTGTGGCACATTGTAAAGTTGAAGAGTTGGGGATTAATAAGATCTCAAGGTCTAAAAGCGGGAGATGATAATACCACTGACTTCTGCCCCGGCCAGATCTCAGCTATGTTCAGTACTGGGCACCAAGTCGTGGGAAAGACTTACAAGCTAGAGTATCTGATCACTATGGGGAGAGGACTGGAGATCATGCCATTGCTTGAAGGAACTAAGAATATTTGGGGGGGTGTGAATGTGGAAGAAGGAGGAGTTATTTGGAAGACAAGGAAGATTTGTCCTTCTTGGAGTTGCAGAGTCACAGAATGTTAGAGGTAAAAGGTACCTCAGGGAATCATCTAGTCCAAGCCCTGTCCTAGAGTAGCATAATAAAGGGATGGTTGGTGAACATCTAGAAAAGGAAGTAAGTGGTTTAGTGGATAGTGTTGGGCCTGGAGTTAGTGTTTTCTCAGGCATGTTGTTTAACCCTCAAGGCTCTGGAGAACCTTCCTCGAGGTGGGCTCGAGGCCACATGTGGCCTTCTAGGTCCTTGGGTGCAGCCTTTTGCCTGAGTCCAAGTTTTACAAAACAAATCCTTTTATTTATCCTACCTGTGTTGGTAAGAGGGAGTTTTCTCCTCTGAAAGTTCCATAGGCTATTGAAATTGCACGTGCATAAGTCACTGGGTATCTTGATTCTCTGGACCTCAGTTTCCACATCTGTAAAATGAGGCTGCCTCTAAGATCTCTTGAGCTCTGACAGTCCATGTTCTTTGTTCTGAGGGCCTGTAATACATACCACAGCTCACTTTATCATACGATCTGTGATATGTATCGCTGTGTTTCTTCTTTCTCCTCCTTGTCTATGGAGATCAGCCCAGAAAGGAAGGAGAGGGGAGTGAGAAGGGCACAGAAGGAAGCGAAGAGGATCTTCTGGTCCAAAAAAACCCAGATTCTTGGTGTCCCATCCTTCTGCCGAACCCTTCTCCTCCTACTCTGGAATCAATCCTATTCAATCCTTTGGCCATCTCTCACGGTGTAGCAGATGGAGTGGTAGGTTTGGTGCCTGGAAGGCTTGGGTTCAAATCCCTAAACTTAGGGCAATCTTTGGAGGGGAGAGAGCTTTTGGACTCAAAAAATGGACAGAATATCTGAGCGGGGAGGGATGATAGAAGGTGCCCAGTTGAAAGGAGGTGAACAGGAATCCCCTCTTTAACTTGCTGAGAAGTACCCATTCTGCAGATGCAGAGGGCTTGAGGGCTTCCAGGAATGAGCAGGGCCCCTCTCCCAACAGAGGCAGCCCTTCTGCTTTGGAACAGCTCCCGTCGTGAGAGAATTTCTCCTTCCGTTCCATCTGGATTTCGCCCTGTTTGGTTTGCCTCCACCATTCCTCTGCTCCCATCTGGGGCCAAGTAGAACAAGTTGTTGTTGTTCTAAACCCTCTGCAGACTCTTGAAGACAGATTGTACTTCCTCCTTGGAGCACCATTACTGGATCCTATGGGCACCTTCGGTTTTCAGGCAGGGTGGGGGTGGGAGGTCTGGAAGGTGGACGTACCAAGGCTTCATGTTTCTGTGGGTCACCTTACGGATGAAGCTAATGGCCTGGTGAAATCATTAACCCCAGACTAGGAGGCCACTGAAGGCAAGGGCAGAGGCGTTGCTGCCAGTGGGGGCCACGTGGGTGGAGGGGCCAGGCTTCAGCGTGAAGCAGGGGCCTGGAACTCATTCCCAGAGGTGGGGCAGGGACACACACCTGGCAACACAGACAGGATCCCAAAGTCGTGGGTGACTGAGAAAGAAAACTGGGAGTGCATTCTCTGATTCTAGTCCAATCTCCATCATTTTAAAAAAAATTTTAAAAACTAAATTAAAAAATTTTTTCTACTTAATAAAATCCATTTTTCTCGCTTCTCAGTTGAAATGAAAAAGAAAGCCCCCGTAATGCAAATATGTGCAGTTAAGCAAAACAAATTCCTGCATTGGATATATCCAAAAAATATACATTTCATCCTGCACCCTGAGTCTTTCGCCTCTCCCTTAGGAGGTCAGTAGCATGTTCTATCATCTACCCTCCAGAACCATGGTTGGTCATTGCATTGCTCAGAGCCCCTCATTTTATATACGAGGAAACTTGAAACAACCCAGTGCTATTATTATCCCCATTTTATAGATAAGGAAATTGAGGCTGTGAGAGGTTAGGTGACTTACCCAGGGTCACACAGGTAGTATCAAGCCTTCCTGGCACCAAATCTCACTATCTGCTACACGATGAGGGCGTTAGTGACTTGGCAGATGGATTGAATGAGATTGATTCCAGGATGGAGCAAGTATGACCTTCTTATAATCATAACTCATAATAGCCATAAAGACGGTCAGGGTGGTATAATGGATTGGGAGCTGACTTCAGAAGAAGGAAGACAGGTTCAATTCTTGTCGCAGAAATACTGGCTGTGTGACTTTGGGCAAGTCACTTAAACACTCCATGTCCCTAGGTAACTCTCTGGTTCTATCTAAGTGATAGAGCAGGTGCTCACTGGGGGAGTGAGTCTCCTTATGGGGAGTTACCTCTACCGGATAGGCCTCCCCTCAAACACTAGTGTTTATAGCAACTTAAAGTTTATATCCTATATTCTTAAGGTCCCTCTCAATTCCAATCTGCTATGTTCTAAGGTCCCTCCTAACTCTGACATTGTATTTTCTAAAGTCCCTCTCAATTCTGATATTCTGTGTTCTAGGGTCCCTCTCAACGTTGATATTTTCTATCCAGAGGGCCCTCCCCCGGTTCTGACATTCCATGTTCTAAGGCTCCTCCCAGCTTTGATCTTCTGTGTTCTGTAAATTCTGACTTTTCACCCGGTGGGACCTGTCTGTCGAGTTAATAACATGCTAATCTCCCAGGATAAGGCTCCTTTTATTTCTCTGAGGCTACAGCTGGCTGTCCACCTCAAGGGAGCATTGGTCCATCGGTGGCCAAATCAAGACTAGAATTCGGGGGTTTCTGAGCCCAGCCAATCCCATTTTGGTCGAAGTCAGATCCAGGAGGCTCTTTGTATCATTAACTTAAGCTCTGCCAGCAGCCTGATAGAAGTGCCTTTAAAAAACAGTTTAGGGAAGGGTTACAGGGGCCTGGAGTGCTCTGGACCCAGCTCTGTCCTTCTCAGGGAGTGTCCCCCTGCCCCTCCCCTCCCTCGCCTGGCCTGCTAGGGACAGAAAGTGGCTTTGTCTCCATCAGAAGGTGGCTTTGTCCCCATCCAGCCTGTCGCACTGGATTACTCATTTGGACCTTTCACAGCCCGGGTCTTTGTCCCTGCTGACACAGCTAGATGCCTTCCTTCCCCTGCCCTGGTGCGTGATGACGTTTCTCTCCTCCTCTCCCGTCCCTCCAGCAGGCAGAGCACCAGAAAGGAATTCTGGACCTGAAGTGTGAGGGCTCCTTGCTCCCCATTGCTACTTCCAGGATGGGCCTCTGCCTCCGTCACTCAGTAACTCTCTCGATCCCTATCGACCAACCAAGCAAAGTTTTGGTAGCTGCTGTCTACTCATGCCCAGGGCATTCCCCTTCTTTCCTCAGTGAGTTCTGTACTTGGTCTTTTCTCCTCCCCTCCTGCCCCCACACGAGGGGGCTTCACCGTGCATGCTGGTACTCCCTCAAACACCCTCACCTCGTAGTTCCCTAACTCACCCATTTCCCATGACCTCCACTCCACCTCGGCTACACCCGGTATTACCCTTGATCTCACCATCACATACAAAAGCACCACTTCTATCTTCTCCATCTCTGAAATGTCCTCATTCTATCACCATCTGTTGTGATTTCACCTCTCACTCTGCTTTACAACCCTGGTCTTCATCCTCATTCAGTCCCTCAGCCCCTTAGTTCTTTCCCAGGACATTGTCCTTGCAAAGGCTTCCCTCTCCTTTCTTCCCCATCTTGATGTCTTGGTGAACCAGCCCACTCTACACTGTCCTGTTCTCTAGAGATGCTTCCCCCCTCCTCCATATTCTATCTCTACTCTTGTCCTGCCGAACTCCAGCCTTGGATTATTCGCGCCATTACCTGCCTTCACTCCTATTGACGTACTATTGAATGAAGGTGGAGAAAATCACAGAAGCATGCTGATTGAGTCCATTATATATTTGTGTTACGTCATCTCACCTGGGTCCTTACTTCCACAAGACCATCCTTTTACATCCCTCTAATTGCCTTACCATCCTATCTCCACAGTGGCTCTTCCAAACCTTCCAAACCTGCTCAAACCTTCTGTGGTTCCCCTTCACCCGCCTTCTCTGCTAAGGACCTCATTCCCTATTTCATTGAAGATACTGAGGCCATTCATTGAAAGCACCCTTCCCACCCTTCCTCAACTCATACCACTCAGATACCTTCCCCCACTATCTCCTTCTTTGACCCCATCTCACATGAAAAAAAAAAATGGCCCTTCTTGCCAAGGTGAAACCCTCTCTGCCCGCACAAGTGATCGTAGCCCATCCTATCTTCTCCAGCAGATTTTACTCATTATCATCCCCACTTTAATTTACCCTCTATCTCTTCCTCTCTACCAGCTACCTCCCTACTCTCTACAAACATGCCTATGTCCCTCCCTTCTTCATTTTCTCCATCCATCCCTGCTAACTCCCACGTTATTCAGGTATCATCTCAATGCTGACGACTCTGAAATCGACTTCCTCAACCCTACTCTGCTGATCTCCAGTCTTCCATCTCCAGTTGCCCCCTCCTTCCTCTGACACCACCCCCACCGTCGTCCAGGGCCTCTCCATCTCATGCCCAGACCGTTGAAATAGGCCGCTGGTTGTCTGCCTGACTCAAGTCTCCCAGAACTCTGTAGAAGTATCGTCTAAACACGGGTCTGACTATATCACTCCCGCTCTAGAGTAAACTGCAGAGGCTCCCTATTACCTCCGGAATCAAATAGAAAACTCTGTTTGGCTTCCAAGACCTTTCATAACCCACCCCGCACCCCACTCCCACCCCACCCCCTTCAGAGACTTCTCACACCCACAACTCTGCCCCTTCCAAGTACAGTTATGCCTTCCACATCTCAGCTTTCCCCATCATGGGTCATCATAAGGAATTAAGTCAGAATTTTAGGGGAGTTTTGCAGAAGCCACAGATGACACAAAAAAAGTTTAGAAACTCAGAAATGCATAAAATATATTATGGTATCAAATGAGATCAACACATCTTTTAACACCATAGTAATTCAGACTTCTCTGGTACAAAGGGAGGGCCAAAACATTTTATGTGGATTTTCCAGATTGCAGAGCACTGCACCCCTGATCCCCAGGATGTGGGAGGGATAACTGTGATCTGAGATCCAAGGAGACTGACTCACTTCCTTGTTGTTTCACAAACGAGACCTTCCATCTCCCACCTCCGAGCATTTTCTCCTGCGGTCCTCCGTCCTGGGGATGCTCTCCCACATTAGCTCTGCTTACTGACCTCCCCGGCTTCCTTCAAGTTCCAACTAAAACCCCACCTTCCACAGGAAGGCTTTCCCAACCCCCCTTAATGCAAGCGCCTTCCCTCTGTCAATTTCCTGTTGATCCTGTTTCTATTCTGTCATCTTCCCCACTAGATTGTAAGCTCCTTGAGGGTAGGGACCGTCTTTTGCCTCTTTTGGAATATTCCCAGCCCTTAGCACACAGTAGGAGCTTAATAGATGTTTATTGACCAAACCAAATTCTGGGTCCTGCTCTAGCCCTGACTGCATGACCTTGGGCAAGTCCCACCTCCTATCTGAGCTTTTGCTTCTTTTTCTTCCTTTTTTTATGGACTGGATCTGTGATTTCATTGGTACCTGGGACTCCCCTTGAGGAAACTCTCTCCACCAATGCTGATAGCACATGATCTGCACTAGCTTTAAAGAGTTGCCTGGGGTCACTGAGGGGCTAAGTGACTCACCCAAAGTCACACAGCCAATGTGTGTCAGGGACAGGGCTTGAATCCTGGTCTTTCTGACCCAAGGTTAGAGCTCTAGGCAACTAGGGGGTACACTGGGTATGCGTGTTGGACTTTAAGTAAAAAGCATGAGTTCAAATCCTGACTCAGAGACTACTAGCTGTGTGACCCTGTGCAAGTCACTCAACTACCCTGAGTCAGTTTCTTCATCTGTAAAATAGGATATTGATTGCATATTCTTCACAGGGTGTTAGGATCAAGTGAAATGACAAGGACAGGGATTTTCAAGCATTAAAGCACTATTTAAGTGCTGTTTAGTTGTTTTCAGTTGTGTCTGACTCTCTATTTCTCCATTTGGGGTTTTCTTTGCAGAGATACTGGAGCGGTTTGCCATTTCCTCCTCCAGCTCATTTTACAGATGTGGAAAGTGAGGCAAACAGGGTGAAGTGACTTGCCCAGGGTCACACAGCTAATAAGTATCTGAGATTGGATTTGAACTCAGGTCTTCTGACTCCAGGCCTGGCACTCTATCCACTGTGCTACCTAGCTGGCACTGTATAAACAGCTAACATTTATAAATCGCCTACTATGTGCCAGGCACTGCGCTAAGCACTTTATAAATATCATCTCATTTTATCCTCACAACAGCCCTGGGAAGTAGGTGCTGTTATTGTCTCCATTTTGTAGATAAGGAAACAGAGGCAAATGGGGTTAAGTGACTTGCCCAGGGTCACACAGCTAGTCAGCATCTGAAGCCAGATTTGAACTCAGGTCTTCCTGATTCCAAGCTCTTTCCTCCATGACCCCTCGATGTCCACCACCATCATTGTCATCATGTATATCCAGTGTGCTGTGGTTGCTTCTCCTGGGCCTCAGTTTCTTTGCCTATAAAATGGGAATTGGACCATACCGTCACAGATCTGTTGCAGCTCGGCCCTTTGCTGTTCTGTGGATGGAGCTGGTGTCCAGAAGGAGGGTTCCGATGAGGTAGGCTAGACATAGGGGCAAGTTGCCAAGAGGTAAGTGGAGGCTTGAGGCCCATTATCATAGATCTGCAACTGGATATTATGAAGGGGGAAACTGAGGCACAGTGCCTTAAAGCGACTTGCCCCAGGTCACACAGTGAGTAAAACATCATAGCAAACACTTTACACGTATCATCTCACTGGGGCAGCGAGGTGGCGTAGTGAATAAAGCACCGGCCCTAGAGTCAGGGGGACCTGAGTTCAAATCTAGCCTCAGACACATATCACTCACTAGCTGTGTGACCCTGGGCAAGTCACTTAACCTCATTACCAAGCCAAAACAACAAACAAACAAACATATTGTCTCACTCGATCCTCACAACAACCCTGGGAGGTAGGTACTGGCTTTATGTCCATTGTACAGATGAGAAAAATGAGAATCAGAGATTAAGGGGACTTGCTGAGGGTCTGAGGCAGGGTTTGAATTCAAGTCTTCTTGACTCCAAGCCCAGCACTATCTACTGCCCCACCTAGCTGCCCCTCGGTGAGGGAGTGGCAGAGCTGGGACCCAGGTCTGCCTGAGAGTCAGTGTGATTCCCACTGTCACCATTTCAGATGTTCAAAGTGGATGGCGTCCTCTTCCCTGGAGGTCTTCAGGTCGAGGCTGGGTGACCGCTTGTTAGCTCTGCCCTTTTGTGGATGGGTCCTACGAACTGGTACTTTCCAGCTCTAAATTCTACGTCTGATAATCCTCAGTATGTACTCCATCCAGTTCTGGGTGCTGCACTCTGGCAAGGACATTGGCAACCTGGAATGATAGTCACCTTATTTGAAAAGTGACTGTGATTTTTTATTCTTTTTTATTTTTTTTTTCTGTGTGACCCTGGGCAAGTCACTTAACCCCAATTGTCTAAAAAAAAGAAAAGAAAAAGAAAAAGTGACTGAGGAGTGAGGAGTCCAGAGAGCCCATCTATTCCAACCCCGTCATTTTACAAATAAGGAAGCGGGAGGAGAGAGGTTATTTGCTCACAGTCACATCAGAAGAGAGATTTGAACCCAGAGCACACGGACAACTTCTTAACAACAGTTAGCTAGTGTAGCATTAGACAGACTACCTTAAGTGGTAGTGAGTTTTCTGTTACTGAAGAGCCTTAATCGGGCCTTTGGACTCCAAATCTCTCCACCTTGCCCTTTGCCACACTGCCTTCCTTATTTAAAAACCTGTCTCTCTGCAGGGCTGACTGGTTCCTGGTGGACAGCCGCTGTCTCCGGCATGTCGCCGTCGGCTTCTTCTGCTGTGGGGTCTCGGTGTACTTAGCAGGTAGGGGCCCATCTCTCTCCCTAACACCCTATGGACGAGCTCAGGCTAGAAGCTATCCATTTAACCCAGCACTTAGTGGTGAGTGACGCCTTCCCCTTCTCGCCACCCTCCGTCCTCCTCCCCATGGCAAGTCATCCAAGCCTGTGCTGCTCTGGAAGGTGGAGGAAAAGGGCCTGGGCTGGGAAGCAAGACATCCGGGATCTGCTCCTGTGTGTGCGGCTAACAGGCAGTGTGACCCTCGGACAAGTCTATGTGAGATTCACTTGTCCCTTCTGTCACATCAGGAGGCTGCCCTGGATGATCTAAGGCCCAACATTCTTGTATTTAGGGAATGCTTAAAGGTTTGTAATGGGATTTCCCTACAGCAGCCCTGTGAGGTAAGTAACACAAATCTCATTGTCCCTCATTTTACAGGTGAAGAAACTGAGGCCAAGGGATTAAGTAGCACAGCTAGGAAGGGTCACCTGGTATTTGAACCTGTGTCTCCTAACTCCAAGTCCATTGCTGTTTCCTATGTACTACAATGATTACTTTTTATAGCTTCTCCCCAGCTTTGATGTTCTGTGTTCTAAGGGCCTCTCAGCTTTGATATTCTAGGTTCTAAGGGTTTTCCCTGCTCTGACATTCTGGATTCTAAGGGCCTCCCCAGCTCTGATATGCCTCTCAGCTCTGACATTCTGGGTTCTAAGGGCCCTTCCAGCTCTGACATTCTGGATTCTAAGGGCCTCCCGAGCTCTGATATTCTGTGTTCTAGGGGCCTCTCAGCTCTGATATTCTGTGTTGTAGGGGCCCTCCCAACTCTGATATTCTGTGTTCTAAGGGCCTCCCCAGCTCTGACATCCTGTGTTCTAAGGGTCTCTTAGCTCTGACATTCTGGGTTCTAAGGGCCCTCCCAGATCTGACATTCCGGATTCTAAGGGCCTCCCAAGCTCTGATATGCCTCTCAGCTCTGACATTCTGGGTTCTAAGGGCCCTTCCAGCTCTGACATTCTGGATTCTAAGGGCCTCCCGAGCTCTGATATTCTGTGTTCTAGGGGCCTCTCAGCTCTGACATTCTGGGTTCTAAGGGCCCTCCCAGCTCTGACATTCTAGGTTCTAAGAGCCCTCCCAGCTCTGACATCCTGTGTTCTAAGGGTCCTCCCAATTCTAACATTCTGGATTCTAAGGGCCTTCCCAGCTCTGACATTCTGTGTTCTAGGGGCCTCTCAGCTCTGATATTCTGTGTTGTAGGGGCCCTCCCAACTCTGATATTCTGTGTTCTAAGGGCCTCCCCAGCTCTGACATCCTGTGTTCTAAGGGTCTCTTAGCTCTGACATTCTGGGTTCTAAGGGCCCTCCCAGCTCTGATCTTCTGGGTTCTAAGGGCCCTCCCAGCCCTGACATTCTGGGTTCTGAGGGGAAGGAAGTCAGCCAATAAGCATTTCCTAAATGCCTACCAAGTGCCAAGCACTATACTAAGTGCTGAGGATACAAAGACAGACAGACAGTCCCTGCCCTCAAGGAGCTCTCCGTCTGACAGGCAAACAGCACTCAAGCAGCTGTGTCCAGACAAGATATGTATGGGGTAGAATGGAAGCAATCTCAGAGGAAAGTGCTCGCATTATGGGAGCTTAGGACAGGCTTCCTGCAGGAGGTGGGATCTTAGCTGGAGCTTGGAGGAAGTCAAGGAGGTCAGAAGTCAGAGTGGAGAAGGGAGAGCGTCTGTGTGTGGGGGAGATGGAGTGTCTGGTGCAAGAAACAACACGGTGGCCAGGGTCACTGAATCAGGATACAGGGTTAACGTGTAAGAAGACCGGAAAGGCATTGGGGGGCAGTTTAAGAAGAATTCCCGATGCCAAATGATTTTATGTTTGTTCTTGGAGGTAATAGGGAGCCCCTGGAATTTATGGAATAGAGAGAGGAGTGACATGGTCAGATGTGTACTTGGGGATAATTAATTTGGCAGCGCTGGGGAGGATGGTCAGGAGTAGGGAGAGACTGGAGACGGGCAGACCCACCTGCGGCCTACTGTAGTGATCCAGGAGGAAGGTGATGAGGGCCCGCACCAGAGGGGTGGCTGTGTCCGAGGAGAGAAGGAAGCTAAAGAGATGAAATCGACGGGCCTCGGCAACATCTTGGATGTGGGGGGTGAGAGATAGTGAGGAGTCCAGGCTGATACCAAGGTGTCAAGCCTGGGGGACTGGTGGGATGGTGCCCACAACTGGAATAGGACTGTTAGCAAGCAGGGAGGGCTCGGGGATGGGGAAGATAATGAAAGAAGGAAGAGAGAGACAGACAGACAGACAGAGGGAGGGGATAAGGGTGGCTCCTAGTGGGAAAACCAGGATTTGGAGTCAGGAAGCTTCCCCGAGACCCTAGACACAGACTTAGCTTCTAGACTTGGGAAGAGGCAGTGGCCTCAGACGTTCAGCCTTTAGAAGCACTTGGACTCTCATCCCTCTGTACAGCCTCTCAGTGTTACACACACACACACACACACACACACACACACAGACACACACACACAGACACACACACAGACAGACAGACACACACACACACACAGAGACACACACACACACACACACACACACACACACACTGACCTTTCAGGCATGACAAACTAAAGCTCGTATTTCTCTTAGTCTTTCCCATCTTTTACTTCACTGGATTTTCACAAGTGCCTCGAGAGGGAGACTGACATGTCATAGAAGAGATGTTTCTCTTCGTTCCTATTTTTTTTAAGAAGAGAAACTGAGGCTCAGAGAGAGAATGTGACCTACCCACATTGCCAGAGCTGACCCCAAATGTGTCAATACAAGTTGCTGATGAAATATGTGTTGGGGAAGAGAATAAATGATAATTTGAACTCTGGCTCTGACACATATAATAATATGATATAAACATTTTTTAAGCACCTACTATGTGCCAGGCATTGTGCTAAGTATTGGGGATTCAAACAGAGGCCAAACATAGTTCCTACCCTCAAGGAGTACACTGTTAATGAGGGAGCTGACATGCAAATGACTATATACAAAGCAAGCTCTATACAGGAGAAATAGGAAATAATTAACAGAGCGAAGGCACCGGAATGCGGAGGGGTTGGGGAAGGCTTCCTGTAGAAGGTGGGATCTTAGTTGGGACTTCAGAAAGCTAGGGAGGTCAGTAGTTGGAGCAGAGGGAGAGCATTCCAGGCATGAGAGGCAGTCAGAGAGAATTCCCAGAGACCTAATTGAGGTTGTGGAACATAAATTAGCAGCAGACCAATTAGAATGGCTGTGTCATTTTCTCCACCTTCATTCAGCAGCACATTTGTGTAGGAGCCAAAATGAGGCATGATGGGAGTAATCCAAGGCTGAGACTTGGTTAAGCCTAATTAAATAATATGGTAAAGGCTAGGGCTAGAGAGGAGGGCAGTATAGAGCTGAATTGTTTGAACGAGGGTTCAAGATGGGGAGAAGAGGAGACAGGGGCTAATGCAGAGAGGGCCTGGGAGAGAACTGAGGGGTCAAGGGATTGGGTGTCATGGTGTCCAGAGAGTAGGGTTTTATAAGGGAAAGCAGAGGGAGACATGATTAGCTTGTGACCCAAGGTCTTCTCACTTGAGGAGGCACACAACGAGATGGCGTTTGGAAGTGAGAGACTCCTTGCACACACTTGGTAATACTTCTATGGTATTTTATAATTTAAAAAGTATTTCACCTATGTTATCTCACCTTAGGCAAATTCTGTCCCCTCTCTGAGCCCCAATTTCCCCATCTGTAAAATGGGGATAATTCAATACTTGGATGGTTTACCTCACAGGGGTGTTACAAGGCTTATACAGGGTGGGACGGTAGAAAGGGCTCTGTGTTTGGAGTCATAGGGTCTGGGTTCTGATCCTGGCTCTCACTTACTATCTGGGGGACATTAATTAAGTTGTTCCTCATGTGTGAAATGAAGGATTGGCTCCTTCTCACTCTCCATCTATAACTCCATGTGAAATCCATGTGAAATCAAATGGTCAGAATAAAAGTTGCTATAGTGTTTTAAAATTTTCAAAAATATACAATCTCATTGGACTTCCTGGGAGAGAGGCACAAGTATAATTAGCTCCATTTTACAGATTAGGAAACTGAGGCTCCAAAAAGTAATCTAAAAAGGCCATGGTCTCACAACTAGAAAGTATAAGAGGCAGAGCCTGGAAATCTCCAACTCAGAAACTGAGACCCCAGAGAAGGGTCTGTCTCCTCTAAGTAACCCAGATCACAATGGATGGAACCAGCTGTCCTGACTTAGATTCCCAGTTGAATGGAGCCTCAGAAAATGTCTAATCCAACCCTCCCACTTTACAGATGAGGAAACTGAGCTCAGACAAATGTAGTCACCTCCCCAAGGTTGACAATTTCATAGGTGCCATATTGTTGAACCCAGTCTCCCTGACTCCGAAGCTCTTGCCCCTATGTCATGAATGTACACAGATGACCGTCCTGTTCTCCTCAAGAAGGTCCTGGGACAAGTCACTATTCGCCTCGGATGTCTTGAGTTTTAATGTTCGGTGGACCGTTGCAGAACAGAATAAAATACCTGCTTTTTGTGCACGAGTAAAAGTACTGGGATGTAGGCTCACCCTCTGAGGGCTCGGTGACAGCAGACTCAACCGCAGGGATGCCATACACCTCATCCTGTTAAAAATAACGATAATAATGAACAACAATAATTTTTAAAAATCATAAAAATAACAATAATAACTAGCATTTGTATGGTACTTTAAGGTTTGCAAAATGTTTTATAAATATTATCTTGTTCAATCTTCACAACAATTCTGGGAGGGAAGTGCTTTTATTATCCCCATTTTACAATTGGGGAAACTGAGGCAGACAGAATAACTGACTTGCAGAGAGCCACACAGGCTGAGCATTTTCTACACTGTGCTACCTAAATAGCTCTGTAAAATGAGAGGGTTGGAGCAGATAGCCTCCGAGGTCCCCCTAATTTTGGGGCCATTTATTACTATCACTACTGGAAGTAACATGTCCGTTCCTTCCTCCTCCTTCTTTCCAGCTCTGTCTATCTACGTGCTGCTGCTGTTTGAAATGGAAACGGGGATTGTCAGTGCCTGCATCCTGTCCTCTGGTATAGTGGTCCTGTTAATCACCCTCACCCACATCCTGCTCAGGGCGTCGAAGGCCTCCCACCGTCGCCTGCCTGAGCCAGCCCCCACCCTCTATGAGAACAGCACGACCCGCCCCCCCAGGGACCTCCACAAGCAGGCCCCAAGCTGCAGGGCTCGACCTGATATCCACCGGGAGTTCTCCTACCCTCATTTCCTGGAGGCTCGACCTCACCTGGCCTCCTCTTCACTGCCCCCCGGGAATCCTGTGCCCGCTGAAGAGGGTGACCGCGGGGCACCCAGGATGCACCGGACGCTGTCAGCAGAGTCAGGGCTGCTGGGGGCCCGGGCCAGACCCTGGAATGGGGTGGCTCAGGAGATGAGGGGGGTGCTGAGTCGAAAGGCTGGCAGCTCTGGGAAAGACTCCACCCTGGTGTGAACACTCCCCTGGGGCCCTCGGGAGCTTCAGGGGACTAAGATTGTGCACTGATATGTCACCACCCGGTCTAGCTCAATTCTGGCACCTGGGGGGTCCCAGAGATCTCATAGAATCATAGGATTTACGTCTAGTCCAATCTCATTTCTTCAGCCGGGGAAACTGAGACCCAGAAAGGTTAAGGCCACACAGCTAGGGCATAGCAAAGCTTCAATGCATACCCTTGCCCTCTGACTCCAGACCCCCTAGAGAGCACTCTACTACAGTGTACTGGGCTAAAGCTGAAGCCATCACGTAGAGTCGGAGGGTCTAAGTGGAGTACAAGGTCAACATGAATGCATAGAGCCAGAAAAATAAATCTTAGGCTGCATTAAAAAAAAAGACAGTGTCCAGAAGGAGGGGCTTGACTGTCCCATTGTCCTCTGCCCTGCTCAGCCCCATCTGGAGGACTGGGAATCCAGTTCTGGGTAGGACATTGATAAGGACAGAGAAGGTGATGAGGATGGGGAGAGGACTGGAGAGCAAGGCATATGATGAGCTTTTGAAGGACGTTTCTCCTGGGGGACAGAAGGTCTAGGGGAAGCATGGGAGCTGTCTTCTTGTCTTCAAAATTCTGCTTGGCCCCAAAGGGCAAAACTAGTGGAAGAAGTGGCAGAAAAGCAGATGTGGGCAGGTCTCAGGTCACCTTTCCTCCCACTTAGAGCTGTCTCAGAAGTGCAATGGGCAGCTTTGGGAGGCAGCGGTTCCCCATCAGGTGGAGCCTGGGTAATCACTTACTGTAGAAGGGGAATCCCAACTCAGGCTTACTTCGGACCAGATGCCCTGAGGTCCCTTCCTTCCCTGGGAGTCTGTGATGCTATTTCAACAGGCAAAGGAACAGTTGATGAGGTTTTATGGCTAGAGGCTGGTTCCTCATTTTTACCAGGACCAGGAGATTCTTGTTTCACTGATTAAAAACCAGAGAAAGGTAATTAGCCCATTTTAAAAATGGCTGGAAGAAAGAGGGTAGGGTTGCAGCTGGCTGGAGCTATGCCCCAAGATCCCCCATGCACTACGTAGAGCTAGGGCCTGACCTCACGGATTAGGGTGGGCTGGGTGAGGAATGTGGAAGAGGAAAGGGGGCAAGGAGGGCAAATTCCAGGCTTCACTGTCCCTGTGCTGACCTGTGCATGCCAACAATAGTCTTCCAGAAGTTTCACTGACCCTTGGCACAAGGAACATGCCTTACGGTAACCACATCTTTGTGTTGGGTTTGGTGTTGGAGTGGAAAGGGAAAGGGGTGAGATGGCTCACCCCAAGTCACATAATCCATTCACTGATAGCAGAGGAAGAAAAAGAAGCTGGAGGTAGGGAGGTAGAAAGGTGGAGGGGGGCAAGGCCCCAGAGTGGGTGAGTCAGGAAATTGGAGCTCCAGGTCAAGAGTCAGGACTCCAAACTGGACGTCAGGTATGCACTCCTCAGGCTGAGGCAAATGTGAAAGTATGTTGGGAGGCTGGAGAGGGGTGGCAAGGTGGAGATAGAAAGGAGCCTAGAATCAGACAGTCCATTATTAGTGTGGACTTGCCTGGCTGCCAAGGTCAAAGTGAGGACACAGCCAAGGAAAGTGTCCCATTGCTCTAATGGGGAAGATCTGGGCCCAAGAAACAGGGGAACCCAGAGAAGGGGAAGTGTCCCCAGGAGCCTCTGATTCTAGGGCCCCTTCCTAGCTCTACCTCCCTTAGCATCCCCCAGCTCCCCTCACGTTTTCCTCAGGCTGAGGAAAGCATACTGATTGATGTCCAGTGAAATATAAGAAATGGGCATGGAATAATGAAGAGTGAAATGAGCAGAACCAAGAGAAGGTGTAGAAAGTAACAGCAATATCGTTCTAAGAACAATTGTGAACGACTAAGTTATTGAATATTATAAATTACAAATCAATACCAAGGACCTATGAAGCTTCCTTCACGCTATCCACCTCCAGAGAAAGAATTGATAAATAGAAGTATGCATAGCATGGTCTTACATATATGTTGAGTCAGATGGTGGCCTTCTCTAGTTCAGGGTGTAGAGGGTGGGAGGGAGACAGTTTGGAACTTAAAATGTAACAAAAAATTTAAATACACACACATACATATACATTTGTATATATATGTATATGCATGTGTGTGTGTATATATGTGTGTGTGTGTGTATATATGTGTATATATATATATATAAAAATATATATATATGTATGTATGTATGTATATATGCATTCCCAGTGGGGGATGGGTGGAGATAGGCCTGGGTGGAACAATCACCCACTTACAGGGAATCTATGTGCTCAGCACTGAAGGCCTTGTGCTTTGGGGAATGCAAAGCAATCTTGTCTTGGTCCCTTAGTCACAGTGTCCTCTGTCCCCCTATTATGGGACTGGGTTGAAAAGGACTGGCCAGGGGCAGCTAGGTAGTACAGTGGATTGAGCTCCGGCCTTGGAATCAGAAGGACCTGAGTTCAAATCTGGCCGCAGATACTTGACAGTTACTAGCTGTGTGACCCTGGGCAAGTCACTTAACCCCATTGCCTAGCCCCCCCCCCCAAAAAAAAAGAAAGAAAGAAAGAAAGAAAAGGACTGGCTAATTATCCATGAAGAACAGTCAACCTTAAAAGGCATGAGTCCGTCATCTGGGCTTCTCTCTCTTCCCATGGGCTGAGGGTGGGGGACGCTGCAGGAGATCTCTCTCTTGTAGGGATGAGAGAGTGCCTTTAACCCCAGGCCTTTTGAGATATAGCAGCTACTCACGTTTGCGTTGCTTACACAAACCTGACCCTGGACCGGAGGCTGCTGGTTGGCCTTTCTGCTTTGTATTTCTTTCCCTGAGCACAGGTGACTGAGATGGATATTTCCAGCCTTCTAGGCCACTCTGTGAGTTGAGAGATTGGAAGGTCCCGAGTCCCTCAGCCGGAGGTGAGTGGCTGAGAAAGGTGTTTTCTGTAACTTTAACCTCCTTGGAAAAGATGACCACAGCCTAGCGGATAGGCCCTTGACCGCCTGAAGACCTGGACCTCCAGGGAACTGTTTAGACACTGCAGAGCTAAGGGAAGGCAAAATGGCTGTTTAGCCAGTCCCATTACGTGTCTCATGTTTTAAGTATGCACTCCTTTGGAGTTACAGTTTTTTATTTCATGTTTCAAGTCTTTGTCAATGCGTACCTGTGAGCCTTTTGTGATTTTTAAGCATTCTTTTCTGTGGAGGAAATAAATAGTTGTCTACTGCCCGCTTGACCTTGTACCCTGGTATCATTCCAACACTTCATTTGGAGAGGCCCTATATAGGAACCAAATCTAAGCTTTCTGCGTGAGATTTTCCCTGGGGCTCCAAGTTCGGGGTATGGAGGACCAGTGGGTGTGAGAAAAAGCCCATAGTCTTCTCCGTAGAGATCCTGAACCCCTGGGACTGAGCCCAGTTCATAAATGAGCCTGAAGCTGAGGGTCCCTAACTGGGAGAAGGCCTCCCCAGTCCCTACCCCAGACCAGCCCTGGGCTTCTATTACACATATAAATACCTTTCCATATGTTAGCCACAGCAAGCTGAATGTGGAAGTGCCAATAGGACATAAAACAGAGAGCTGAGAGGGACTTAATTTGTTGGGTTTTTAAAAGTTTTATCAATTCCTTTGATTTGATCCCAGTCATTCTTTACCCCACTCTCATCAAAGCCTCCTTTGTAACAAAGAAAAACAGTTAAACAAACCTGATCTGACAAAGTGAGAGTGTCTGAGGTAGCATATGCAAAATTGGAAGGACCCTTGAAACAGAGCTGCGAGGGCCCTTAAAACTCAGGATGTCAAAACTGGAAGGGCCCCTTAGAACCCAGGATGTCAGAACTGGGAGGGCCCTTAGAACAGAGACTGTCAGGGCTGGGAGGGAACTTAGAACCCAGAATGTCAGAGGTGGGAGGGCCCTTAGAACACAGAATGTCAGAGCTGGGAGGGCTCTTAGAACACAGGATGTCAGAGCTGGGAGGGCCCTTAGAACACAGAATGTCAGAGCTGGGAGGGTCCCTAGAACATGAAAACATACCATATTAGAGCTGCAAGGTCTTTTAGACTAGTATTGAAAAGGAGCTCAAAGGTCACTTAGTTGAATTTTCTTATTTTACTGATAAGGGAGCCAGTGCTCAGAGAGGTTTTGAAACTCACCCAAGCTCACACAGCTGTATCAGTGCTGGGACTGAAGCCAGTTTTTGACTCCTAGTCAAGGGCTTCTAATACAAATTGAAGAAATAACCAAACCACGCAGCCTCTCATCATTACTCTCTTCTCAAGATCATAAACATGAAAAAAAAATCTCCTTATTTGTGCTGAAAGAAATGTAAAAAGCAGCGTTTCTAGTAGTTCCATCTTTCCCAGGGTAATTCTGCATGTGGACTTCGGTTCGTTCACAGGAGTCTTGTTTTAGGAGTGTGTCCTCCGTTCGGGGGCAGCCTACTTTGGAACAGAATGGGAGGAAATGGCATCGAATGTCTTGGTGCTGAGTCCAGAGAACCAGGGCAGGACTCCAATCTCTAGAGTAGACTCTGGGGACAGAGAGGCTGGCCTGCTTGGGGAGACCACGTGGATGGCCCTTGGAAAATGATCCTGGGTGATGGTCCCTGGAGGATGGGCAGGGCCGGCTGGCCCTCAGTATGGCACAAGCATCCATGTTCCTGCCCAGTAGACATATCAAATTCTGTTTACTGGTTTGGAGAGAAAACTTGGCTTCTTGGATGGAGGCAGAAACTTAAGGAAAGATTCTGGAGTTCACCTGTTCACCTCATAGAAATAGCTCAAGGCTGGGCATCTGGAGACCTGGGATTCTATGTCTACTGTCCTGGGTGCTGGGGCTAGAGATGCAGAGGGTGAAATCAAGAAGAGTTTGGGTAAAGTGGACATGGTAAAGGATGAGACTGGTTGAAGATGACCCCTCTTTCCCTCTCTACGGTGTATATGATCCTTCCCCAAGCTAACCTCCCTGCACTGTCTCCACCCTCTTCCCTTCC